ACACACACACACACTCACACACACACTCACACACTCACACACACACACACACACACAGAGGGAAGGTTGTAAAACTGATGTCTTCATTAGGCAGAACAACAGACAATATTAATTTTTTCAGTGCTCTTATGATTAGATGGGATGATACATATTTGCTCTAAAACCACTTGATCAAATGATTTTTCTTTCTTTACTAAATGATGAAATCTGAATCAGTTCAGTTCAATTTATTTTGCTATGATTCTTAGTTATTTAAGAGAATATGCTACAAATGCAATGATTGAAGTATACTGAGGATGTGTTTTTTTAAGAACTGAAAAAACAGTATATTGGATTAGAAATGCATAATGCATTGGATATTATTACAGTAAACACTGTGATCCCTTTCTGTGCAGTACAAGTGAACGTTACAGAGTCCTCCTACAGAGAGAAGCGATATCTTATTGAGATCAGATAATCTGCGCCCACAGCGGGAAATCTGTGACTGTCTGCTACTGTCTGCATGTGCGCCATTTCAGTTTCCCTCATTGTTTACTCCACTCAGAGGCACGAAGAAGCCTGTATTTGGCCGAGGTCTACTAACGGCCTGATGCTATAGATCTGAAACGTAAGTAACCCTTTTGAAACAAAGCTTTCCTATTGGTTTCTAATGGATTCCAAGCCTGCGCTCTAATTGTCTGGCTTGGCTTAATATAGGACAGTCACAGCTGCGATTAGATTTGGAGCAAGTGTAAATGGTATTGCATCATAAACACATCAGACAGGGTAATACGCGCGCTTGATTCGGGTGTCAGCGTAAAGGGAGAATTTGAGTGATTCCCATATTAGTTGTGCTTATGAGTTCCTTAAGTTTGGAAGTTCCGGATTCTTCTCCAACACTCATCACTCATTTCCTTCATCCAAAAAACACGAGAGGCACCAAATCAAATCTAGGCTTTGGAAAGACTGATCGCTTCCATCCCTCTGCGTGTGCATTATAAGTGTGTCATTTACATCGGGTTAGGGTCCGCCTGTAGCATTCGTTTGGGCTCTGTTTGCCTGGGAAACATGTGCACATGTAGCGCTAATAGACTGAGGGTGTATGTCGCCCGCTTCCCCTTGCCTTTTCTTTTTGTAGGCGATGCCGCGACACAACAACGAGCCTCCTCTGACTCTTAACGCACCTAGCGAAGCGCAGCTAACGAGTTTTAAATTACAGTAGATACAGTAAGTGGTGGTGGCTAAATGATTGAATCATTACTGGTGATCAGGGCTCTCTCGCCTTGGGCATATTGCTGCAATAGATCAGCCTGTCGAGCTCATCTGCATCAGTCACACGTAACCCAGTTTGCCGAGTGAGAGAGATGGAGCGCACTTTCGTAGGAAATTCTGTCTGCCAATATTACTGAGGGTGCATAAGAAGGGCCCTGAGTGGTTTGTCAAGAAGCGCAGCTTCAGAAATAGGCAATTTCTACAAGGGTGGGGGGAAATATGTCTTGGGAGAGGAGAATTATTGATCGGAGGAGTTTTGGGAAGCTTATGTGTAACTTCGGATGCTGGGGCCTGCGATACCAAAGTCTTATTTAATGTATGTTGTGAATAATATATATATTTTTCTTCTTTGAAAGAATTAGAGAGGTTCATGAGGCGGAGAGATTACTGGGCACATTACATAGACTTCTATTGTTTTTATATACAGATAGTTATACACTTTTTAGCCTAAACCCACCCTACCCCTCACAGAATACTTTCTGCATTTTTACAATTTCAAAAAAGTTTGCTTACTTTATTTTTATACCAGTTTTATAAATGAAGGCATCCCCAAATCGAGGTTTTTGGCGATTTTGTCAGGTTTTGCTCACTTTTGGGTAAAAATTTGTCCCCAAAATATGATTAAGGAGGTACACACACACACACACACACACACACCCCTTGGGTTTTTGTGTTTTATGAGGACTCTACACAGACATTTTTAGACTGTACAACCTTTATATTCTATTCCCTAACCCTAACCATAAACTTCCGTAAACCGTAACCATAAATCAATTTTTCATTTTCAATCAATCAATCAATAAATAAATGAATTTATAAAAATAGAAATAATAGAAATAAAAAATTTAGTATGATTTACAACCTGCTTTCCTCATGGTGACTGAAACTTTGTCCACACAATGTCAAAAAGTTCAGGTTTTACTATCTGAAAGTAGGGAAACATAGGGAACACCTGGATCACACACAAACACGTTGGGTTTCCATGTTTTATGGGTTCATTCCATAGGCGTAATGTCTTTTCTACTGAACAAACTGTATTTTCTATCCCCTTACCCTAAACCTACCCCTCATAGGAAACTTACTACATTTTTAGATTTTAAAAAAACTTCATTCTGTATGATTTGTAAGCTGTTTTCCTCATGAGGAATTTTACTGGTATTACTATCCTTGTTGGATCATTTGGTCCTCATAACGTCAGGAATATCAGGTACACACACACACACACACACACACAGACTCTTTTTTATTTTGTTATCTAACTGGGGAAATTCAATAGACTTCTATTGTTTCATTTACAGCAAGGCAAGGCAAGTTTATTTATATAGCACATTTCATACACAATGGTAATTCAAAGTGCTTTACATAAAAGAAAATAAAAAAAATAATAATAATAATCACAACAATAAAACAAGGAATTAAAAAAAAAAAATGTAGTTATACATTTTTTAGTTATAAAGTTATAAAATAAAACAGCTAGTTATAAATACTGTAATCTAACCCTAACAGAACATGGTCAGCAATTTTACAATGAAATATAATTCATTTTTACAGTGTTTTTACAAATGGAGATGTTCCCAAAACAAGGTTTTGGAAGGTTTTGTCAGATATAGCTCACGTCTGGATACAAATATGTCTGTAAAATACACTGAAGTAGATCAACAGCCTTACGTTAGGGTGAGCCAGGGTGTTGCTGTCAGTGTACATGATGGAGCTGGGCAAAAGGGTGACTTCCTCTTTTATAGTCTCTGCCTCGTTCTTGATCTCTGAAGCTTCAGTCACCTACACATAAAGAGTTATGGTATTTACAAAAACCTTAAGAAATCACACCGAGCTCTGGTCTTTCCGTCATTCCAGACATTTCTCTTATTCATAATATTCAAACCCACTCCCACTTTGAATGCCTCATTCCTTAACTTCTTCACTATCGTATCTTATTCCCCTGAGATCCACTCTTCTTTGGTGCCAAAAATAGTCATAATTTAGACCCCTTAAGTTTCAACCATAATTAAACCCACTGGTAATTTGCAAATAATTCTGAACACCGTGATTAGCTTGTTTGAGGTTAACCTTCATTAACCTTCCAGGACTGGGTTAGAATTAAAGGCATAGTTCAGCCAAAAAAGAAAGCTCTGTCATGTTGTTCAAAATATGTACAACTTTCCTTTCTACTGCGGAACATAAAAGAAGATATTTAGAGAAACCGAAACCGTTTGCTTACCACCATTCTTCAAAATATCGTCTGATGTGTTCTGCAGAAGAGAGAAACGCATACAGGTTTGGAGCGACGTGAATTTTCATTTATGGGTAAACTATCCCATTGATTAAAATATACTTTTTGCTGCTGTTTTTTTTTGCAAAGATCTTCATCTGTGTGACATTAGTAAGTTGCAGACACTGAGATATTTTTGCACCTTGCTTCAGATTTGAATAAGGCTCTTTTTGGACTGGAAGGAAATGAGTTCAGTGAACTATTTTATCTCAAGAGATCAAGTTAAATTTGCTTGACCCATTTAACTGGAATTAGTGGGTGCAGTTTAAAGGTGGAAGGTTTGCATCTGATAATGACTCATTCTTGAACCATAGTAAAGTTGAGCAAACACTTATCTGCAGGTGAGTTCAATGCGAGAGATGTTGGGAGCAGTTCTATACACAAACAACTGATGGCAGTATAATCATAACAGTGCTCACTCGTGTCCTTTAAAACATCTGTATCCGAGCTAAGCAGACTCCTGTGTTCAACGTCAAGGCCATACTCTGTTCAGTGAGGTTTTATCTGAGCTACATGGAACGGAAATGATTGAAAAATCAAATGTGCATGAATGTATGTATTTGTGTTTGCCCAAAGAATGTCCTCCATGTATGCTTTTATTGCTGTTCGTACATCATTCAGAGTGATGTTAAGTGCTGGTCTAGCATCAGTACAGACTCATTTCAGCTGTCACCTTTTGTCTCAGACCACAGAGATCTGTGCGCATTTGTTAGTAATCTGATTTGAGCGGTGGACCGGATTCAGTAATGCTCACAGCCCACCGACGGGCAGACGCTTTTCAAGAGCCCGAGCACAAGTGGACAGGTGCCACAGACCAAACGGAATTTAATGGCAATCATTTCATTTGCAGACAAACGGAGAGTAATCCGGCGAAAAGAAATCAAATAAAAGAATATATCTATATATGAGAAGGAAGGCAAAAAGAATAGAGAGGGAGAGAGCCAGAGATGTACCTTGGTGGCATCCCGAGATGATTTGAAAGCCTGAGGAACAAAGGAGTCGCTCTCAATGACCTCGATATCCTTTATCCTCTTCACCTGCTCGGCGAGAGACATTTCCTCTAGAGGAACAAAAACCTGAGCGGTGAGTGGACAGGCGAGAGGTCAGTGGGGCAGGTCAGACGGGCACAAACCACAGAAACAGAAAAAACATCATTCTGATGGATTCATCTCTTAGCAAATAACAGCGTCAATCTATTGGACACTGTTGAGTCTGTAGTGCACATGACACATTGAAGCAGCTGTGCTCATGGGATGCCGGTTGTGTCCCGATCCCATTCCCTGTCTATGTCAGTATGTCTCCAGTAAAACAACAGCATACTGTCCAAACAAGCAAGAACACACAAAAAGAGAAAAGAATCTAGAAAGAAAAGAAAAAAATTACTGGTTTGATGAAGCCTATGTTGTGTTAAGTGTCCTCTGTAGTTTGAAGTAGTTCGGTGGAAGTAGGACTTAAAGGGATAGTTCTGCGGCTCGTGACGATACATTGATGTGTAAAGACACAAAACGATCGGTCTGTGCAAGAAACTGAACAGTATTTATACCGTTATTTACCTCTGATCCACTGCAATGTCCGAACTGTCCTGAGCGCGTTCGCGTCTTCTTCTTCTTCTTGCTTTACGGCGGATCCGTCACGTGCCGGATGTTGTGAACGCGCTCAGGAAACGACATTTAGACATTGCAGTGCATCAGAGGTAAAACAACGACATAAATACTGTTCAGTTTCTTGCACAGACCGATCGTTTCGTGTCTTTTCACATCAGTGTATCCTCACGAGCCGCAGGGTTTAATTTGGTTTTGTTTGTGTATGTTTTTCTTTACTCTCAAAGCCGTGATTCCCATTCACTTCTATTATAAGACTGACAGACTGCAACGGTTTGAGTTAAAAATCTTCGTTTGTGTTCTACTGAAGAAACAAAGTCACCTACATCTTGGATGCCCTGGGGGTAAGCAGATAAACATCACATTTTCATTTTTGGGTGAACTATCCCTTTAACAGTCAGAAATGCTGGTCTCAGAAGATGATCTTTAGTTTGATATAGATATGTGGATCGATAATTATAGTCTGCATGAAACTGAGGTTGTGATCCTGTTTACGTCCCAATTGTGATGTATATCAGAGTGAAACTTCATTTAAGCTTCTTAAATTAGGAAAATATTTAATTTGGTTCAATGGGATTGATTGGCTTACAATGCAATATTCCATTAAAAAAAAAAACTGTCCATTTAGATTTCTTGGTGACTCGCACACATTATTAACAGTCTTCAGAAATCACCCGAGTAAACATTAACCACAGCTTTTAAATCGAAGTCTCTCTATGCATTTCCAAACTTGCTAAGCATGCAAATTATTATTTATTTATTATTTTTTTAATAGTTGAGCATTTTTCCTGCTTACTGAAAGAGAAAGACAGCGATGTTCATCACAGTATTGAAGTAAACATCAGATCAGCTGATTTATTCTGAAGACAGATTTATGTTTTCTAACATTTTGAAGTTATGCACAAATTCAATGGTGTATTCATTGTGGTTTAGGCAATTCTGTTGTGATGTTACTATTATTTTTAAGACATGAATTAAGTGTAAAAAAAAAATATTATTGGTATCAGTTAAGATGAACTAAAAAATTGGTAAAATTAACCTAATTAAACAATATGTAAAACAGCAATTTACATATTTTTTAACTGACAAAAGTAAAAACCCAACTAATTTGTGCTTGTCCAGTCTGTAGCTCTTTAATTATTCTTCTTTTTAAGTTCTCCAAGTGTCTGAAGTGGACGTTGGTCAATAAGACATCTGAAAATAAAAAGATACACTTCACAACTCATTCAGGAAACAGCCAGAGTTGTGTTTTGGCTTGAAGATGTGATTCATGTTTCTCCAAGTATTTATGGCATAGTTCTGAGTAAAATGATGCATTGTACACATCCTCAAATTTGAATGCAATATAGTATCAGGCTCTTATTCCGGTATCTGCTGTATACTGTATTGTATTCAGTTTCTCCTAATAATCATATCAGGCGATACATATGCTAATGATTTTGGGTTGGACTGATACACACAACACCTGGTCATTTTTAGTCAAGCTATCGGCTGTCCATCTCTGATGCCCTCTGGTGGTTGAGCATATTAATATGGACACTAACACATACTGTGACTTCAACGATTGCTGATAGTTTAGAAGGTAACGTTTTATTTTGATATTCCACATTCTACTGACTTTACGTAACTTTGCAAGTACGTCAAATTATTCTACTAACAGTTTACAAATACTCTAATGAGAGTTACTTGCAGATAGAAGAATGTCTAAAGTGGACTATCTTTTAGAAAGAAACAAATCTGTTTAGAATTCCATAATCCAGTCATATTGTCATAAAGCAAGGCCAGACACAACGGGTAGTATTGGAGATTTTTGTGGTCGGTAATGACGGTGAACGGATGGTTTGCTCCCTCCAGCCAGTGCCGCCACTCCTCCAGGGCGAGTTTGATGGCCAACAACTCCAGGTTGCCGATGTCGTAATTCTGCTCCGCTGAGGTCAGTTTCTTCTACGCTTCCACTACGAACGGCATGTCCGGGTCAGGATGATGAAGGATGGGGGCCGTGCTGAAGGGTGTAATAAGAATTTTTACTTTTAGGAAATTGCACAAAACATTAATATAACATATTTAGAATGTTTGAACTGTTATGGAATGTTTCACTGCCCATACAATGAAAGTTAAAAAGGTCAAAAACAAAATTTGACCTCACTGACCCTAATTGTTTTGAAAAATAAACTTTCAAAATATAGACCTTTTTTTCTCCATCTTTTGTCTTCAGCAAAATAAAGAACGTCATTCAAGTTTGGAACTACATCAGGGTGTCATAAAGCAAGGCCAGACACAACGGGTAAGTGAAAGACAGGATGGTTTATTGATACAAGAGGTGGATGAGTGGAACGGGTTAGGTTAAGGCAGGTGAGTGTCAACAGAGTGAAGGATTCCAGGGTTCTTATCTGAGTTCTGAGGGTGAGGGTCTGATGCCGGTCTCGTGGGAGATCGTGGAACAGCTTTCCGAGGAGTCGTTGGAGGATCGCGGGAGAACCAGAAGGTAAGTCTTTCTAGGAGAATATCGTATAGAGAGTCCAGAACAGTCCATAGGAGTGAACGGTAGACCGGACAGTGAGTGACTGTGAAGTGTGTGTATTTGAAGTGTGGCTTGATTGGTGACAGCAGGTGCGGGTGATCAGAACTCAGGTGACTGTGATCGGGTGATTATCCTGGCTGGTGACTGCCGTGACTGTGATGAATCCCTGACACATATATAGAGATCAGTGGTTTAAACAGAATATCTGTATGTTGGTGATGCAATGCCTACACAATTATGAGGAGAGACAGAATTTCAAGGAGATTTCAAGAAAAAAATAATCAATTCTAAGGTTCTTCAGGGTAAACGGATCTTCTATTATTTCATATGCATACTTCTCTCACTCTACACATTCATTCAGAAAAATAAAGACCTAATGTGAAATTGTTTGGTACTACTTCCATAAATAAATAGAGCAACTGGCTATATTGTCTCTAATATTTAACTTACTCCACATTAACTTCTTGTTTATTGAACTATAAACTGTGATTACCTACAGCCACAGCTGTGCTGTTATTCAGAACAGTTTGTGTGATCCTGCTAATTTAAAACATCCTTAAACATAAAACACAATGTATTACTGATACTCAAATTCACCCACAATTCAATCTCTCTCCACACATATGCATGAAAATGTGCAGAAACAAACACTATTAGGTAGGAAGCATGCTCTCTCTCTCTCTCACACACACACACACACACACACAGATCCTTGCGCTAATGAGAGGAATTAATTTAATCCATTAACTGCCAGGGAGCAACTGTCACAACACATCTTCTCGCTCTGCTCGTTTAATGAATAAATGAATATTTGCTCTGGTTTTCTCTCTGTTAGCAGAAATACTCGCTCACTCTTTCTCTCTCTCTCTCTCTCTCTCTCTCTCACACACACACACACACACACACACAGCTTTTAGTGTTTGTCTTATAAGGCTTATGAACATAACTTCAACACTGTAGCACTGACATTCTTTCCTGGCAAACAGTTGGAAATTTCTACAAAGAAAAGCAAAACAGTCATTCTAATGAATATCTAGCTTAATTCAAGTAACATACATATAGACATAGACACTGTAAGTGTGCACACACACACACACCCACACACACACACACACACACTGTTACCTTTGGAGGCACCTTCAACCAAAAACACAGCCTGTTCAGTCATTGACTGACTGGACAGCTGCCTCTAGTTTCAGACGCAGCCACGGTTACACATCACTCTCACACACACACACACACACACACACACACACACACACACACACACCATAAAAACACAAACGCGTGTCAGTGCTAACTGCTGATGTCACAACACACTTGCTCTGAGAAACAAACTTGCAATAAAATAAGCCCGAACAATTTCAGGCATGTGTTCATACATAGTGACAACAGTTTGCCTTCTCAAAAATACACATACTTGAGCATGAGGCAAAACGGAGGCGCAATATCCTCTAGGAGCCTACAGACCGTCCTTAAGATGACAGCAGTCCACTGGCTCTCAATCACACACTTATTACTCCTCCTGTGTGTGTGTGTGTGTGTACCGAACATCTTAATGACTGATACACAGACACAAACACACAAGCCCACCCAGATACATCAGTGACAACCTATCCTTGGCCCGGAATTCCATTAATGCCTCATACTTTTTGACAAACACATTATTGGTAGATAAAATGACTTCCATATGCTGTTTGTCAGATGTCAGTGAGGAAAGATATGCATTTCATAGGAAAATCAAAAATAATGGACTTTTGAGAGAGGGGCCCGTGCTGAGCAGATAGCAGAAAATCGATAGCGCTGTCGGAGAGACATCTCTGCCAGACACGATCAGCACAAGGCCAGGTCAAAGTTGACATTTAATATTGACACATTATCCACAAAATTAATTTAGAGTCCATTGTCGCCGCATTACACAAGCCTTATAGCAGTCTT